TCTGTGCACCACATCCCGATGAATCACAATGGACTCACTGGCACCTAACACCAACGCCACAGAGCACATGTGGGGTATCTGACTGGGCTATGGACTTCTTTTGCATTGGTATTATTTAATCAAAGTGTACTTATGGTATGTGTACTTCTAATTTATTATTATTATTAGTTGGGATTTAATACATATAACATATCATTCCATATTTCAATCACATCAAGTAGAATTGTACAGTTGCCAGCACAATCATTTTCTAACCACTCTTTTTCAACATGGACTCCTTGACATCGTATCCCCTTTACACCCCAACACCGCCTCCCCCCCACAAGCACCACTGTATCCTACTCCCCCCAAACCCTTTATTCTACTTGCCCTCCCTATAGATCCATTAATCCTAGGTTTCATGTACTGAAAAACAGGAAAGCACATAATACAGCTTCAAGAGAGTGACCTCCATTGACTTAGCACCCTTAGATACACGCTACTATGAATGAACAAAAAACAAAATAATACAAACCAAAAAATACAGAAAATTTTGGAAACCAGATCCAATCCAGCCTGCATCACCGAGAAGGATCTACTGACAAAGTTTTAACTATTCAGATCAGATTTATGCCTTTGAACTTCTGTACTCCTCTCTCCCAAGCACTCTCTTTAACAACCACCTTTCTCCCATTCTTTAACTTTAGATTGAGGGAGTTATCGGGGCTTATTTCCCATGTAGTTCCACAATGAATCTTGGGTTCCCACTGTCATTCATTGTCTTCTGCGCACCACATTCTCACAATTTAGGCTCTGATACTGATCCCTCCATTGACTTCAGATTATATGCATTCCAATCCTTCAGTGACTGATGATGGTGTGCTTCTTCCATGTAGACTTAGTTGACATCTCACTTAGATGGCTGCTTGTTGGGAGACAAGCCTTTAAGACTCGATATGCTATTTGTTCTTATAGACAGGCACAGTCTACATTCCTTGCCACATTTTGCTCTAGCACCCGCATCTGTGTTCCCTTCCTGAGGGTGAGTATTGAGCAGGGCCATGATGTAAGAACAAATTGTTCTTAAATTGGAGTTAGGATTTAGTGCAAGCCCCAAACCCATGCCTGGATCTATGTTTCTTTTTTCCTTTCAATTTGCTGTTACCTGGTAGTTAATACATATGTCATATCATTCCATGGATCAATCACGTCTAACAGAATTGTCCATTTGCTTTCATAATCAGACTCCAAGTATACTTTTCCTTCCTGGACTCCTTGACACCTCAAACCCTGTCTCCTCTGAAACCCTTGTTCTATTAGCTTTCCCTTTAGGCTCAGCATCCCTGAGTTTCATTTACTGAAAGACAGAGAAACAACTACCCCAATGTCAAGAGGGTGACCCTTAATGGCTATGCACCTCTGAGATACACCCTAATATGAACAAGCATAGCAACATAAAACAGGATGACCTCAGGATTGTCAGAATAATACATATCTTTATACAGCATATTGGATATTGATGTAGTAATGTTTTGTTTGTCTGCCAACCAATCGTTCTTGGTACAGCTGTGCTCTGCTTCCTTGGACACCATATGTTTTCCGGCTTAAGTCGTCAGGTTCCAAGTGTCTGAGGTGGAGTCCAGGTTACCCATGGAGTTTTAGCATGGGATCTCACTGAGGCCACCTCTGGAGCATGCTGTGCAGCCTGAAGATCCACTATTCTGTGCCCCAGCGTTCTACAGCACCCTCCTGCGTTCCTGGCATAAACGCCAATGCCCTTGTTGAATTTTGCCCACCCTCTGCACTCCACTAAAGACCCTCCCCACCTAATGTTCCCAAAAGCATCCTCAGTCACTCCAATAGGCTTTTGACAAAGCTTAGAAAGTGAATCTTGGATGTGATAAATAAATCCAAGATCGAAACCTTAGCTGACATGATGTTAAAATACATGATGGAAATAATTAACTAGAATTTAACATTTAGAAATGTTATTTCTAAAAAGAAGACTTTATATTCTATAGACTGATGGTCAAATGGAAGATAAAAGGGTAATAGGTACCATGAGAGAAGTAATTAAAGTAAGCATATAATTTTTTGTTAGCTTGTTTGTATTTTTAAGAACAACCGTTTTTGTTTGTTTTCCTCTTGGTTACTTGTTTTCTTCTAATTGTGGAGATACAGAGGTCAAAGCAAATTGTTATCACAAATTCAATGTTGTGATGATTCAATAAGATATTCCTTATTTTGAAATGTATCTCTGCTCTCATGGAAGGGGATGGGGAGTGGAATGGGTTTCTTGGAAAACACACATATCAACAGAAAACACAAATATCAACAAATACATGATGACTCTTTTCCGTGAAAATCACTCCTTCACTCATTGATTTTCTGATTTACAGATAGTGTCAAACACTGTAGATATATTTCTGAAGTCCAGGCATTGTAACTCTATACAAGTAATTAGGTTTGGATTCGGGTTAGCTGCTCGTGTAGTCAAACAGCCTTACTCTCACTCACTGGCTTGAAGTTAGTGGGCTCATGATGATTGCAAGGTGAGGACTCTCTATGAGAGGAAAAGAGGCTTAGTTACAGAAAATAGGCTTTTACAAGACTTTACTTTGTATAATGAGCGTGATGAAAGAGACTAACAGAGACAGGCAATGTGAAAATGCATTAACACTGAAAATGCAATCAGTTAGACAGTCTACCTGCTCCCCTTCTTCATCAAAAGCTTTCCTCTCCATTTAGCCCTTGAACAAGGGCAGCCAATTACATCAAGAACATTTTCTGACAACTGTGGCAGAAAATATATTATAAAACCCCTACACTTTTAAACACATAATTGAGGTAGACAATTTATTTACAATCTTAATATGCACAATTATTTCATTGTCCTTCAAAACAATCTGTATTTCAATAATGCATACACAGACAAGAAGCATTTCTAGTGAAACAGTATCAAAGTTTCCAAAGTAAATAGCTCCTAGTTCACCATCTCATTTCAAATGTTCTGGTCATAAAATATTCACAGCTATTTCATTCTAAGATTATGATGCAAATTGTCAAGTTATACTAATGTTTAAGTAGTGACCAGATATTGTATGACCTACTAGTTCCAAAGATTAGATTATGCTCACATGTAACGTGGGCATTCACTTAGTAGGGGACACTGGTGTCTAGTATCACTGGCATCATGTCATTTTGTTTGTTTGTTTGAGATGAACTTGTCACTAAAGAGTGCAACGTCTTCAAATTTTACTTTCTCTCCCTCTTTTTTTAAAAAGCCACTGAAACAACTATTTAGGCTTGAAGGATAAGGAATCTGGAAGAAGGTTTGGTTTGGTTTTGTAAAGAAACGTGCTTTATATGTTTACACAGCCCATCTCAAAAACTGAAATCAATAACTATATCCCATTAAATTTCTCATTAAACCAGATATCCATATATCTGGTTGGGTGTTTTGTCCCCCTGCCCCCCTCCCAGCCATCACTTTCCTCTGTCTTTACCCACCCCCATCTCTGGCCTGCCAATTGCTCATAAAGTTTATCTGTTCGTATATAAGCCCAGTTTCTTATTCTTTACTTTTTTTTTTTTTAAACATTTTATTAGGGGCTATGGTGATATTAAATATTTATCTTTGTGAAAATAACTGAGCTTGCTAAGCATGATGTTCTCTAGTTTTGTCCATGTCTTGCAGTGTTTAGAAGTGTTGTCATTGCTTGTTTATGCATAAAATTCCACAGTATGACTATACCAGAGTTTGTTTAAGTGTTCCTCTATAGTTTGCGTTTTGGTTGTTTATATGCATTTGCCATTGTGGACATTGCTGCAATAAACCTAGGTGTGCACATATTTGTTCATGTTGTGTTCTTAATTTTCTTTAGAGTGCATACCCAGTAGAGAGATGACCAGATCATACGGCACCTGTAATTGTCTTTGTTTTAGGAAGTGGCATATTGACCTCCATAGTAGTTGTACCAGTCCACAGTCCCACCGGCAATGTGAAAGCGTTTCTGTCTCTCCACAACCTCTCAAGTATGTATTAGTTTGTGTTTTGTTTAATTTTGCCAAAAGTGTCAATGTGATGTGATACAACATTGTTGTTTAATCTGTTTTCTCTTACTGCTAATGATCAAATATTTCTTCATATGGTGGTTTTCCTGGATACCATATTTGATAAATTATGTAGTTATGTATTGGACCCTGAGTTAGTTAATTGTGCCAGCCTGGCCAATAATCACATGTGGGGCTAATTGAAAGGCGGAGGGATAAATGGGTGGTGAGCCTTGCCTTTCTAGTTCTCGGGTCTCTTGTTTTGTGATGGTTGCACCGGGTGCAGCTGCCTTAGCAGTTCCCTGCTTCAGCTTGCAAGATTGACTTTCTACAAGACATCCCCAAGGAGAAGCTACATGGACCTATCCCGATGCAGCCCTGGGTGCTGGAGCAGCCATGTGGAGACCCCTGCCAGAGCAGAGATGCTTGTTCGTTCACTGACTCAGCTTTCCTCCTGCAGTCGGCATCATTGCCAGTTTTGTGAGGTGGAGGACTTTGTGGACTGGTGTTGGGTTAATGGGTTAATGTTGGACTTGTGGGCTTGGGCAGCATTGGGGTGGGATGTTTTCGTGATGCACCTTTTCTTTACATAAAACTCTCTCTTATACATGAGTCGCTGTGGATTTGTTTCTCCAAAGTACCTAGACTAGTACAGACCCATTTTGGGGGAAGTTATTTGATTTTTCTTCTTGAGATGTTATAGTTTTTGATAGTTTTGGACATTAGTTATACATCCAATTTACTATTATTGAATATAATTTTTTCAATTAGTAGGATCCCTCGATTCTTTTGATGAAGTCTTTTCATATCTATAAATGTCATATTTTAGTAGGTCACAGTTCTTTACTTCATCTTCTATAGTATGGATATTATTCATTATGTCAGTGGTGTGCTTATGTCTTGTTTTAGGATCTTAAAGTTTGTCCCTCTTTCCCATTGATTGCCTTTATAACAGTGATTTTTTTCCCGCCTGTTTGAAACTAGCCTGAGTTCCAATAGCACTGAGGGGCAACTTTAATGTTTATTTTCTTCCTTTTATGACCTCCCAGACCAGTGTTGTGATCCGATGAGAAAGGGAACTGGAGGTTAACTATGTGATTAATGTTGAGGTGTTTGGTCCACCTTGAGGTTCGTCTTGTACTTGGTGTGAGTTATCAGTCTTGTTTCATTCTTTTGCATTTGAAGATCCAATTTTTTCAGCACAAGTGTTTGGAAAGGTTGTCTCTTGTCCACTTACTGTGTTTCGGTTTTTTATCAAAAGCTAGGTGTCTATAGGTACTTGGTTGTATTTCTGAATTCTAAATTCTAATACACCAGTCTGCTTATCTATTGTTGTACCAGCACCGTGTTGTTTTACTTATCACAGCTGTATAGTAGCTTTTAAGATCTGGGCATGAAAGGCCTTCTACTTTGTTTTTATTTTTTAATTATGTTTTATCTATTTTAAATTTATTTTGTATTCAAATAAAGTTGGTGATTAGTTTTTCCATTTCTCTGAAGAATTGTTGTGGGATTTGGATTAGAATGACATTGAATTTGAAAAGTATTTTGGGGGATATTAACATTTTCACAATGTTTTGTTTACCTGTCCAGGTACATAGTAACTTGTTTCATAATGTAAGTTTCTTTAGCTTTTTTGAAGGAGTATTTTTTTAGTTTCCCTTTTATGCATCTTTCATTTCTATGGTAATGTTTATTCCTGAATATTTCATGTTTTGTGTAGTTATTGTAAATGGTATTGTTCTTTTGATATATTTCTGTACCGATATCCTTAATATAAAAGAATCCAACTGATTTCTGTATGTTGATTTTATAACCTGCTACATTGCCAACTTTTTAAATTAGTTCCAGCAATAGCTTAATGTAATCTTTGGAGTTTTTTTATACATAGGACTATGTTGTCTGAAAATACAGAGATTTTTATTTCTTCGTTGCTAATGTGGTTACCTTTATTATCATTCTTATGTCTTATGACTCTAACTTTAACTGCCAGGAAGGACTATGTTATATAAAGGTAGTGATAAAGGATAGCTTTGTTTAAAAAAAAGTGAGATGCAGGATATTGGTTTTGTATACATGGCTTTTACTATATTGGCAAATGTACATTGTGTACTTATTTTATTGAGTTGTTTTAATCAGGAATGGATTTCAATTTAATCGAATGCCTTTTTTGCATCTATTGATATGATCATATGACTCTTTTCCTTTATATTGCTTTTCTGAATAATTACATCGATTGCTTTTTCTTTTCTTTTTTTTTTAATTAATCAATTTATGGGGGCTCATACAATTCATCACAATACATAGATCAATTGTGTAAAGCACATCTATACATTTGTTGCCCTCATTATTCCCAAAATTCTCTTGCCTCTTGGGTTCCCGGAATCCGCTTTGCTACAAATTCTACTTAATAGTGATGTATTCATTTTTGATGCATAGTTGAATTATATTGACTAAGGATTTATTGAATATCTTGCCATCTATATCCATTAGAGATAATGGTGTATATTTTCAATTTGGGTGCTGTTTTTGCCTGATTTAGGTATCAGAATTATAATTGCTTTATGAGTTTGGTACTAGATTGCCCATTTGCATGTTGTGGAATAGTCTATATAAAATTGGTATTATATTCCCTAAATATTTGATAGAATACCCCAGTGAAACCATCTTGAACCAAACTTTTTCATATTGGGATTTTTAATGACTGCATCTATTTCTTCTCATGTTATGGGCTTGAGGAGATTTTCAACATAATTCTGTGAGGACTCAGGTAAATAATGCATTTCTGGAAATTAATCCATTTCTTCTAGATTTTAAAATTTGTTGGAGTACAATTTTTTAATACTGTGGTGTGATTATAATTTTTTTAATCTCATTTGGTTCTGGTGTAATATCACCTGTTTCATTTCTTAATCATAGAACTTGTTCTCAATTTTTCCTTTGTTAGAATTCCCAGGGGTTTACCAATTTTGCTAAATTTTTCCAGAGCCACGTCGTCCCTCACTGAACCATAGCTCTGCGAGGGACAACACTGGAGACACAGGGAGGGAATAGTGCACAATCTGACCCCATCACGCTGGGGTGAAACACTAAGGGCATGCATTAGAGCAGCAAGGGGAGCAAAGTGATGAAATCCCCGGGGAATACCAAAAATAGACTTTGGAGCCAGAATGTAGCACCCCATCAGAATTGAATGGAAAATACTCGTAAAGGTCAACAAACAGACCTTGAACTATTTATAGGTTTTTCCATTTTTGTCAGTGGCTTTCTTTTTGCTATTGTTATTTTGTTTTTTGGTTATTGTTGTTTTGTTGGTTTTGTCTTCCTTTGTTTTTTTATTTGGCTTTTCCTTGGATTTGCACTTATTAATATATCTGCATGTCTATCTAGATAAGATAGGCAGGATAAATAATTCAGATATGAGAAGAACAGAACCAATGGGTTTGGGGGGATATGGGAGAAGAGGAGGTGGGAGAAAAGAAGGGGGTGGGGAAACCAACCAAGGGACAAGGGAACCACAAGAGAAATAAAGATCAATGGAAAGAAGGGCATAGGAAGCCTAGTGGGGCTCAATCAAGGGCAATGTAGCAGGGAGGAAATAATAGACCCAAATGAAGGCCGAACATGATGGTGGGACAAGATGAAAGTAAAAGGAAATAGAGGAAAGAACCAGGAGGCAAAGAGCATTTGTAGAGGTCTAAATACAGGCATGTACATATGTATATATATATTTAGAGAGAGAGAGAGGAATAGAACTATGTACTCATATCTATATATTAAGAATTAAGGTTGCAGATGGACATTGGGCCTCAACTCAAGTACTCCCTCAACACAAGAACACTTTGTTCTAACAATCCAGCATTCAGTGGTGTTCACCTTCCCTACACAATCGCTGGAAACAAAATGGGTACATAAGCAAATGTGGTGATGAAAGCTGATGGTACCAGACTATCAAAAGATACAGCGTCTGGGGTCTTAAAGGCTTGAAGATAAACAAGCAGTCATCTAGCTCAGAAGCAACAAAGCCCACATGGAAGAAGCACACAAGCCTGTGTGATCATGAGGTGTTGATGGGATCAGGTATCAGGCATCTAAGACCTAGAACAAAATCATACTCAATGTAAATGAGGTGGGGCGGGGTGGGGTGGGGAGGGGGAATGTAGTGGCGACCCCACTTGCCCATCTGCAGTTCACAGGAAAGAGATGAGCCAGGCAGGGTGCAGTATAAAACCCTTGAAACACACAACTTTCCTCTAGTTCTTTGGTGCTTCCTTCCCCCCATTATCATGACCTCAATTCTGCCTTACAAATAGGATTAGACCAGAACATGCACACTGCTACAGATAAGAGCCTGCAGCCCAGGGAATCCACAATAGATAAACCCCTCAGGGCCAACAATAAGAGTAGAGATACCAGGAGGATTAGGAGAGAGAACGGGGAGAAAGGGGAATCAATCACAAGGATCAACTTATAACATCCTCCCATGTGGACAAATAATGGAAAAGTGGGTGAGGGGTGACGGAGGACTATGTAAGATATGAAAATAATAATCTATAACTGATCAAGGGTTCGTGAAGGTGGGTAGAGGATGGAGGGAGAAGAAATGGGAAGCTGATATCAGGGACTTAAGTGGGAAGAGAATTCTTTGAAAATGATCGCGGCATATGTGCAAATGTGCTTGACACACTGGATGAATATATGGTTTGTGATAAGAGATGGAAGAGCCCCCAATAAAAGTAAGTCTTTAAAAAAAATTTTCATAGCCAAATTCTTGTCTTATTGATTTTTCTATGGATATTAGCTATTTTCATTTTATGTTTTTATGTCTGAGGCCATTGTTAGAGCCACTGGGTCAACCCCATTCTGGGGAACTTCCACTCTTTCCCTGACCCCCTCTTTACCAAGCATAATATTTCTTGAAAAACTGGTCTTCCTTGACATATCCAAAAAAGATGAGCTGATATCTGACCATCCTTGCTTCTAAAGATAATTCTGGCTTTATTTTCTCCAGGACAGATTTATTTGTTCTTCTGACAGTCGATGGTCCTTTCACTATTCTTCATCAACACTGTGATTAAAATTAATCAATTATTCTGTAGGCTTCCTTATGTTTATACAATGATTTTACATATGTATGAGGCATTTGAAAATTCAATGGAATTTGTGTGGTACAACTCAGTTCCCAGGTGACATCCTCACTCTTCGATTGTTAAAACAGACCTTGTGTACCAGATTGATCCAATGGAATGCATCATTTGATTTCTTGACTGCTGGCTTCATCAGCATTGGTTCTGAATCCAGGCAAGATGAAACTCTTGACAACTTCAATATTTTCTGTTTATCATGATGTTATCTATTGGTCCAGTTACGAGAATTTTGCTCTATTTTACATTGAGTTTGAATCCATACTGGAGGTTGCAATCCTTGTTCTTCATCAGCAACTGTTTCATGTCCTACTCACTTTTAGCAAATAAGGTTGTGTGATATGCATATTACAAGTTGTTAGATTCTCCACTTCTAATGCCATATTCGTCTTCAGATAATCCATTTTCTCTGATTATTTGCTCAACCTACAGATTGGATAACTATCATGAAAAGATACAACCCACGCTCACACCTTTCCTGATTTAAAATCATGCACTATTACCTTGTTCTGTTTAGAATGACTGCCTCCTGGCCCATGTACAGGTTCCCCATGAGCCCAATAAAGTGTTCTAGAATCTCCATTCTTCTCAATTCCATCTAAAGGTTGCTATGATCCCCACAATCGAATGCTGTAGGATAATAAATGAAACACAAGTAAACCTTTTGTCTGGTATTCTTTTGTTACAGCCAAAATCCATCTAATTTCAACAGTAGTAACCCTCTTCCACACCCTCTTCTGAATCTAGCTTAAATTTTCAGCAGCTCCTTGTTGATATACTGCTGCAGTTTATTTTAAAGTATCTTCAGCAAAATTTACTTGCATGTTATATGAAAGGAATTGTTTTAAAATGTCTGGATTCTGTTGGGTCATTTTCTTTGGAATGGGCACAGATGTGAGTTTATCCCATAAGCTAGTAATGTTACTGACTTCTAAAGTTGTCGG